GAGGACTTTGTGGATTGGTGTCAGACATATGGGTTAATGTTGGACTTGTGGGTTTGGGCAGCACTGGATTGGGATGTTTTCTTGATGTGCACTTAACCTTTATATAAATGTCTCTCTTATACATGAGTTTCTGTGGATTTGTTTCTCTAAAGTACCTAGACTAACACAGTGGAATTTACGATAGAGTGTTGTTTATTCTATTAATTGTAAATTGTGTCTTATGCACCTTTTTACTGGTAGAGTGTATAATAAACTTAAGTACTTGATGTAATCTTAGCAAGTTATTGAAGCTCCATGAATCTCAACTGCCTGTTGTGTAAAAAGTAACAATACTTTGAACCTCCATGGGTGGCCAGTTAAGATCAAATGAGAAATGTGTAAGTAGAAAGTGCCACACAGAGTACAACAGCCTGAATATCAATCTGTGAATTCATAATAAGCAGACCTCAGTCTACGATGAGCAGATGAACAGTTCACAGGATGATTTTAGGTACAGAGCAATTTCATATTTTGGAATATCTGGTTCAGGAATTTACCTATCCTAATGATGTTTTTTTTTAAAAAAAAAGCTCCCTCAAATTTCTGGGTTCTTGACTTATACACTTACTTTGAATTTTCATGATTTGTTCTTTCTGTTTAAAATACCAGTCAGATCCATGGCTGAGAATCTCAAGTTGGATCAAGTTAGGGCAGGGATGGTATAGAGGAAGGGAGAACACACCCATGTACTGAGAGGGGACATTTTCTACTCCAAAATAAACACAAAAATACCCTCCACTGGTCCTTTATTTGTGCTGGGCTCAGGTATCAGGGTGCAGTTACTGCGTGGTACCGAGTCCCGCTTCCTGATGATCTGTCCGCTTGGAGGCACATCTGAAAACAGGCCTGGTGCTGACCATTCCTGAGTGGGCAGCCAGCCCCTGTGTCTCTCCCATCTATGAAGATACAGGGCACCACCGCCTAGCCTCACCATCCCCACCTCCTACATCAACAGGCCTTTCTGTAGCACACGCGGGAGGTGGGGGGAGTGGGGGGCACTCGCAAAGGCAGAGGGCTTACCCCTTGGGCATGGGTGAGTGTTGGCGAGTCACAGTTCCCAGCTAGCTCAGGTGATCTCCCTGCTGACCCTCACTGTGGCCCTCTCCCAGTAGACACTGCTCTCCTGGAAGGGAGTTCCATATCTATGTGAGGCTTGTCACTCCACCCCATGGCATACAGTAGGCCACCACTAAATGTCCATGTCATTGAATTTTAGCTGAAATCTGCCTACAACCTCTTTTGCATTTTCCAGGTGAGACCTGAAAGAGTCGTGAGCATCTATGTCTGTGTGCATTTGGTCTTCATTCAGACAGTCCCCATCCGTTCACTCATCCATTCACCACCGAGTGACCGATCATGTGTTGGACATCGTGCTAGACAGTCAGTAGAAAGTGACTCAGACGTCCGCAGACGTCTGTACAAACAAACTGCAAGAGAAGCAGAAAGGCAGGTCAGGTCTTGGTGATGCTTTTAGGGGATGGCAGGGATGAGAAAGGCTTCCCAGAGGACATGATGGTATTTCCGCTGGTCCTCTCGGCACAAACAGGAGTCCATGGGCAGAGAAAAGGAAGCGCAGCAGCATCCAGGACTGGGAACAGCAGGGACGGAGGGTGGAGAGAGACCACAACAGAGAGCCGCCATCTCATTCCCAGGGCTCTTGTTCTAGAGTGGGGCGAGCTGGATGAGGCCAGACCCAGGGCGAGAGCAGTTTGAGCATGGTGTGACTGCCATGCCGACAACACGCTCATCTGTCCTCAGGGTAACAAGGTTCCATTGCAGAGTGTCAGACAAGAGCATGCCGTGAAAGACCTGTTTTACCTGGGCTGCTCAGTTGACATTCTCCTTTCTTTTCTCTGCCACAGGCTGGGCTTGTCTCATGAGCAGAGACGCAGCCCAGCCCAATACCTAAACCTCAATAGAGCTCAGCAAATATAGGTCTGAGCAAGGTCATTCAATGTCCAAATGCAGGGCTAAGCTGTCTCTGCAGCCACTTGTTCCTTCACACCAGAAGATGAGTGTGGAGAACAGATCCTGGGCCAGGGCTCAGAGAGACCACATGTGGCTGCCTTCCTGGGGCAGTGTGGGAAACATCTGAGCCTAGCCTGACTTCCTTGGTGAGGAATAACAGAACACAACCAGCGGATGAAAGCAGAGCCCCCCTCTTACGGAATAAAAATCAGGAAGAAGAATGTGAATTGTTGATGGTAAAAAAACACCAAGCCAAAAGTCTACTCCAAGCTCCTGGCTAGGTCTGCTTCTTAATTCCCTAGCTAGTGGAAAGTTCTAGTTAGGGGGCATGCATGCCCACATTCTGGCTTCAGGAAGTGTCTACCTACTCATGAAGCAATCCCTCTGAGTTCTGGCTACTCATTGTTTCCTGCAGTTGCGCAGTAGTTAGGTGGGGCCAAGGGGCCCACAGGTGGGGGAGCCAGAAGGCTCAGAGCCCACACTGGTCTATGGACACATGGCCGTGGGTTAGGATTCTCAGTACCCTCCCTTTCCAGGCACCTAGAAGGAATCTAGACTATCTCCAGGTGGTGGAAAATGTCTGTATCTGAGCCCCCAGCAGGAGCCCCACCTAGCAACCAAGCCTAGCTCTCTGCTGAGCAATTTAACAGTTGTTTTCTAGTCTATCAGGATGCAACACACTGTAACTAGAGTTGTGTTTTCTTTTCCTCTATTCTGGGAAGGGAAATAATAATAACAGCTACTATTACTGGGCACAAATTCAAAATTCAGCACCTAATGCTTCTCTTTAATCTTGCAGCAAGCCTACCAGGCAGGTATGACTATATCATTTGCACTGAGACGGAAAAACTGAGGTTCTATTTTATTCTCCTTTCCTTGCTCTTTTGGCCTCTATCTCTCTGGGTGAAGTTCAACTTTCATGGCTTAGCTCCCGTGTCCTGCTTGGGTCTGCCTCCCACCTTCCCCGAGCTCTCTGCCTGTATCTTCCAGAATGCACCATATTGGCCCAGGACCATGCAAGCTGCTGGTCTCACCCCTCTGCTAACTCCTGCCAGCCTTTCAGAAATCAACACAAACACTACATCTTCCAGGTGCCTCCCCTCTGGTAGTCCAATCTGACTTAGGTCGTCCCACCCACCCACCCTTTTAAGCTTTCCCAGCCTCCTGTGCTTCCCTCTTTCCATCAAGCACGTCTAACTGCTGACATTTCACCGCTATCCCCTGCTGTATGTTCCTGGACTAAAGGAACTAAGCCCAGATGGGGACAGGGTTAACTATGTATCTGCAACAGCCACCTGGCACCCAATATCATAGGAATGTCTCATTTTAAAAATGAGCATGTTTCCTCTCCAGTCATAGGCCCTCTGATATGGGGAGTAGCGGATCATCAGGTCTGGGGTGTCACATCCACCCGCACCATTGAACTCAGATTCTAAGGGAACTGAGCACTCTGTGATTCAAGTGAACTTTCTTGACCCTACAGACCACACACTGCAAAGGACCAGCAGCCCCTAGAAGCAGTTTTAAGGCCATCATTTGGGGTGGGGGTAGAGAGCTAGAGGTCCCTGAGCTTCAAGTTTATCCATTTCTGGTCAAGAAATGCTGGAGGCTGAGCTGAGCTGGGTCCGGAGAACCCACCACCTTAGCAGTCCTCTCCTCAGGCATCTGAGCTCTGCCTGCTTCGGGTCAGCACTCGCTTACTGAAAAGCTCAGTCTTGCAAAAGTTCTTTGGTTTCGCGTTTCCTGCCATTGGTCTGCTTGTTAACATTATATCCCACCTGCTCATCAAAGAGATAAGGTGGTGTACTCTGAGCCCTTTGCAGCCAGCCCCTCGGCGCAGAAAACCAGCAATGCAGATTGAAACTGGAGAGGTAGGCCCTCTCCGTGGAGTTCAGGGTCTTCAGCTGTAAGATGAGGGTAGAGGGCCAGGTGGGCTCTGGGCCTCTGGTGGCAAGGACACTTTGAGAGACAGGGTCCCTTCTTCCCAAACCCTGACTCTTTTCCCTTGATCCCCCTCACTGACCTTGAGATCAAAGTGCGCAATCTTCTTGGTGTGAAGGTAATGCACCCCTTCCAGGATCTGCTTAATGAAGCTGGTGGCCTCCTCCTCACTCAGTGATTCCTTCTGGGCCAGGAAGTCGAAGAGCTCTCCTCCAGACACTCTGTAAGACACCGGGGGTGGGTTGGGAGGGCGGTGTCCAGGCCTAGCCAGGCCTGTGGGTAGGAGGCCAGGCTGGTGGTACAGCTGCTGACCTAACCCCTCAGCCACCCTGTAGCAGAAGCCCCTCACCCATGTCTGTAGCTTTGTCCAAGGCACCAGGGGCTGGCTTTGTTTCTAGTTCCTGTCTCCTTCTCTTTGGGTCATAGGGTAGGGACCATCCTTAGCTTGGCATCTGAAGGGCCTCAGGCCCTGGCTACCCTGGAGGGTATTACCCCCTGCCCCAGAGTGCCCAAGGAAGCTGAAGGCAGACATGAGTGCTGTGGTGCAAATGTTGGGACAGAAGGCTAGAGATGGCAGGTTCCAGAGCAGCTGTGGCCACTACGTGTCACAACTCACTGCCCCTCTCCAAGCCTCAGTTTCCTCATCTGCAAAATAAGCAGACCGAGCAAGAGAATTTTCTTTGGGTTTATGAAAGATAACATCTTTACAGGCTCTCCAAAAGAATATAGGCAGGTTTTCTAATTTACACATTAAAAGACCATTAATTATCCCATTCTCTAAAAACCCTAGAGCAGGGGTCCTCAAACATTTAAAACAGGGGGCCAGTTCACTGTCCCTCAGACCCGTTGGAGGGCCGGACTATAGTTAAAAAAAAAAAACTATGAACAAATTCCTATGCACACTGCACATATCTTATTTTGAAGTAAAAAACAAAATGGGACAAAAACACCCGGCGGGCCAGATAAATGTAGTTTGAGGACCCCTGCCCTAGAGGGCCTCTTTGGTCCTTATATTCTGTTCACTCGCCCCCTACAGCTGATATGACAGAACTAGTGATCTCACTCATGGCCATCGAGTTGATGTTGACTCACAGCAACAGGGGGGGAGGGGGGGTGTAGAACTGCCCCTGTGGGTTTCTGAGACTGTATCTCTTTATGGGAGTAGAAAGTCCCATTTTTCTCCTGAGGAGCAGCTGGTAATTTTGAACTGCTGACCTTGCAGTTAGCAGCCACTACTCCACCAAGGCTCAGGACTACAAACCTATAGGATAAAAAGACTCTCCTGGGCCTTAGGGTCACCGTATAAAATAGGAGAGGATTATTCGTTAAGTCTGCCAACCCTCCTGAGCTTGTCTGTCCACCAGCCAAGGCCGGGGTCCTAGCAGCACTGTGATCCTGCCAGGCTCGGGCAAGGTCCAGGATCACCCTAGGAAAACAGTGCAGCAAGGGACCTCAGTCAGGGGTTCCAAGATGTCAGGACCACCTAGAGAATTTGTTCAATTGCACATCTGCAGGGCATACTTCAGAGCTTATCAATCGAGAGCTGCCTTAGGACTTGTATTTTTACAATCACAACATAAAAATAACTAATAAATATGGAAGGGACCAGATCAAATGCAGGGATGCACATGGTAGACAACAGGGGAGGAGGTGGGGAAAGGAAACAAAAAAAATGATGAAAATAAGGA